GCCAAATGACGATGACGGCATGTTGCGATGCTCGGGTCGTTGAGGCGGTTGATGTGTTTTACCCCTGGCGGCTGCGCACCTTCCCCGCGGGCTGCATGCAGACACGGCGGGTACCCTGCAGTCAATCGCCCGGGGCCCCCCGCCCCCCCCAGTGCCACTGCCGCCGTACCAGCAGCCACAGGAGCAGTCGCCTCCAGGAGGCCCCCCGGCTGCACCCCACGCCGTGTGGTTGTATTCCTCGTCCATCACTCAGGAGCTATCGCAGGACGGCTATTTGCTGGACCTCGGGTGGGGGTATGGGGGGGGAGAAGGGTGAGGATGTGTGTGTGGGGGGAAGGCCTGAGGGTGGAAGGGGGAGGAGGGGAAGGGGGGTTAGGAATTGGCGCGAACACGGGGGTGGCGACCTAAGCGACGGATGTGTATGCGGTGGCACTTTTGTCAGTGGGGATATGATCCGCCTCATGCTGAGTCTGAGGAGTAGGCCTGCTTACCGTGGTTGTCTTTTGTGCAGTACGGCAGGCGAGGTACGGGCTGTACGTCATTAGAATTATGGTCGTGTTCCCGTACTGATTTCTGTTATAGCCGTTCTGAACTTGACTCCCGTCCGCCGCTGTCTTGGTGTTCAGGGAGCTCGTGGAGGATGAGCAGTACGGCCTTGACTGGTTTGGTGTCGGACAGTCGTACCGCCTGCATGTCGTACCTTATGCTGGACGTAAATTTGCAATTCCCTTGGACGGCACGCTGCTGCACCTCTTTTACCGAGAGGACGTTCTGGAGGCGCTTGGCCTGGCCCAGGTGACCTGGGTTTAGGAAAAGAAACAGACGAACAGACAGATAGACAGACAGACAGACAGGTAAACAGACAGATCATTGAAGCGGACAGACGGGCAGACAGAGAGACCGACAGGTACACAGACGTCACACGCCTACAGTGACTGGCTCAGTTGGCTCCTGACGTGCCCAATACTTAGTCCGTCAACCTCCAAAGATATGGCATGCCCTCCCTCTGAATCACTCTCTGTGAAGGACGGTGGTTCGCTGCCGCAGGTTCCGCAAACCTGGACTCAGCTCGTGGAGTTTACCTTGTCGTACACGGCGTTATTAGCGTCGTCGTCTTCCCCTAGCGGAGGGGGAGCTACGTCCGCAGGGTCGTACTCCCACCAGTCGCTGCCGCCGTACCCAATATGCATTGCGCAAGACTTTGGTGAGCCGGGGGGCTCGCGGGACCCCGGGGGCTACCTGGCCCCGCACCGACTGGATATCCAGGGCTGTACATCCGGGCTGTACAGAAGTATGTATGTTGGGGTGATGGATTGGAGCGACCCGCACCTACACACATACACACACACGTACTCCACTCGCACGCCATTACCCGCTCTTTCCCCCCAACCCGTCCACACACCCCTGGCAGGATGTCGTCATGAGTCCTACCTCCAGGCCATCTGGTCCAGTCTGGCACAGACCCACGGGTCATCCCAGCCCATCCACTTCGAGCCCGCCACCATGCGGCCGCTGCTGGACGGACCGGCCAGCGCCGCAGCCTTCCGCATCCTGGCCCAGCTGCTGGCTACCTCTGCCCCGCCCGAGGCGGGCGAGGGGTGCAGTCAGGGCAGTCTGAGCTTTGCCCGGGGGAAATGTGTATTGGCTCTGGGGGGATTCGTACAGCAAATGCAGATGCTAGCCGAGTCACGTGCCAACGGTACGGGATTGCCACCAGGAGCTGTCGTACGGGTTTCGGAGCTGCCCGGATCGGAGCTGGTCTCCTCAGTCCCTCCGCAGGTGGCTGCGGAAGAGGAGGGCCTTACGCCATGTACGGCTGACTCATGTCCGTACGCCACAAGAGTCACAATCAACGTCGCGGCGGGGGCGGAGGTGGAGGCGGAGGCGGGTGGTGTTGCTGGTTTGGGTGCGGCTCTCCCTGCCGTAAGTACGTTGTCCGGGCGGCAGCAGCGGGAGGTCCTGGTGAACAGAGCTCCTCAGGCGCCGACTTCCTTACTGGTGGGCAGCATCAACAGCCGGTAGGGTGTGGAAGGGGCTGGGGTGAGGGGGGAAGAGGGGTACGAAAGGAAAGACCAGCCGGACGTCATACGTGTCCGAACTGGACGAGGTTGTATTACTATTACCTTTAAGGGGCTGGGAGTCGTACATCACAGCACAACACATCACAACACACGCTAAGCCAACAGAACACGACCCGATGTTGCGATGTCGTGCCCCCAAAAGGTAAAAGCAGGGGAAGATTATGTACATCTCTCTGGGCTTAATTGTGTAACTTTTAGGTTAGCAAATGCATATGGTCCTCGTAATATTAGTGGACCTTTGCCAACTTTTTATAAGCGTTTAACTACTAACCAAAATTGTTTTGTTATCGATACAAGACGGGATTTTGTATATGTTACAGATATGATTGACTGTATAGAAAAAGCTGTAGATGGTCAGTCGCTCCGATATGCGGGAGATGACGAGGGACCTCACCTCCTCGTACCGCACCTCGAAGGGGTTTCCCCTTGGGGACCTTGGGTGGACTCCAGACCCGGGTCTTCCCCCCTGCCTCCCCCAGCTATCAAACCCCGTCTCTTCCCCTCCCTTGATCGCCTCCATTTCCCCCCCCCCCCCGTATTATGACGTTTTTTCGCCAAGTAAAGATAAGGCTGTTTTTGTTTTTCCTGCTGTTACTGTTGCTGTTGCTGTTGCTGTTGGTGTTGGTTCGCGGCGGTAGGGCGCCTCTCCTGGGAAAGCTCTTGGCGTTCGAGCTGCTCGCCTTCATGGCCTCATCAGACCGTTACAACGACCCAAACCGCCACAACGGTGACAGCGACAACGGGAGCGAGCTACTGCCGACTGTGCCGTCCCCATTGCGGGGCCTCTTCCCCACTCGGCCGGTCCTGCTACAGCCACCGCCCGGGTCAAGTCTGGACATCTGGGTAGCGGCGGGGTACGACACGGAGCTGATGCGGACTGCCATGCCGGTGCTGTACGGCAGCATGACGCATGCTAATATAGCTTGGGGGCTTCGCATGCCCGGACAGCATGTTTACTCGTGAGTGCACGGGGGGGGCTGGGAGTGTTCCTGTTCCTGTTAATGGGCGGGGAAGGAGGCGAGGGAGGGGGGTTATTTTTTTTGAGGAGCAGATGGATTTTGGCGTCGTATGTAGTCGTGGGTGTGTAGCCGAGACGCCCTAGGAAATAATTGAAAGCCTTAGCGGGGGACGGACCCTGGCTGGCTGGCTGGCTGGGGATCCGGGGGTCTTGCTGCTTTGGGGCCCCGCCAGAAAAAGTAAACTAGTGTTGATCTTACTCACCATCCTTCGTTCATTTTGTCCTCGACGCAGCAACTTCCTTGGCGACGTCATCGGATCGATCCTGACCGGCAACATTTCTGTGGAGCCATGGATTTCCGCTTCTTTGTCTGCCGGCGCCGGCGCACCTCCCCCCAAATCGGATCCCAGCAGCCCCACACTGCCCCGAGTGCTGTCCGCTGTAAGGGCGGAGCTGGCGGACTATTACAAGGGCGAGGTACGGGTACGGCACCGACTGACTGACTGACTGACTTCTGACGGATAGACATACAGACTGTTTGGATGGCGGCCACACCCTCGGCGAACAACCCTCTCGGTCGGGGTGGGCACATCAACTGGCGCCCCTAGCTCTGTAGTGTGTTGCATTCTAAGTCCTTTAGTGGCGCTTATGCAATGCCGTACAGTTCTTGGGACGACCCACCTAAGTCTGCCCTGCCCTGCCCGGTGTGCATGCGTGTATATGTGTGTGTATTTGGCCCCTCCTGCCCCCTGCCCCCTGTATCTTGGCCCCATCCGTGGTGCGGGTGCTGGTGCTGGTGCGGGTGCTGATTCCAGAACGCTTCCCGTCTGTACGAGGTGTCCCGTCAGCCCTGGGTGTTTGCCGCCCTCACCGGCAGCAATTGCAACGCACGAGTACAGCAAGCCACCGCCGTACCGCCACCGCGCAGCGATACGTCGAGTGAGTCTCTTGTACGTAACCTCCATCCCTAGATGACTGTGACGGCGGTTGCTGCTGCTGTACTTGTAGTATTTCTATTACACTTTACGAAGGTTTTTAAAGACTTCGCGCCATTGATCTTTAAACATGAGCTATCGTCCAACCCCCCTCGTTGAGCCACTTCCATTATCATTTTCGCACGGGGCTCTCTCTGCCCCCCTCCCCGCCCCCACTCCACTCCACTCCACCGAACCCAACCCCACACACGCCCCCACTCCCCCCTACCTGACCCCCGATACACGTACGACAGGGTCTCACTCTCGTCACGTGCCGCTACTGCCAGTGCTGCTAAGCGCCCTGGTGCCGGGTGCGCTGCTACTGCTGGCGCTGGGCCTGGGTCTGCTACTGCTGGTCGGGATGCAGTCCGATGGCGGCGGTTGGCGGTTGGTTCCGTTTGCCGCCGGCGGCTCCTCGGGCGGCTCCTGGTGGTCCTCCGGAGAGCTCAGTGCGGGCGGGCCCTGCGGTGGTGGCGGTGTGGCGGTTTGGGAGGACTCCCCCCCCCACCAGCGCCACCACCGCCACCCCCCCCAGCACCTCCGTGGGCTGTGGGGCTGTCTGGTGGTGGCTCGGCGGGGCGCCCGGAAGGTGCACCTGCCCGGTGCGGGGTCGGAGGTGGTCTTGTGTGTTACAGACATACAGGTGGGTGGACAGGGGGGCGGGGGGAGGGCGGGGAGGGGAGCGGGAGGGGAGCGGGAGGGGAGCGGGAGGGGAGCGGGAGAGAAAGAAGAAGGGGGGTTATCTGTCGCTCACCGCGCATTGCGGTCCCAGCTGAGCTGACCCCTGCTGTTGCCTTTGCCCTCCTCCCCTCTTCCCCTCACTCACTCACTCAGTCACTCAGTCACCCCCTGCCTCCACCCAGCCCATGCGGGTGTCTTAGGATTTGATCTTCGGAGCCGCGACGAGGGAAGTGCCGTATGGTGTTGTTGGTGGTTGTAAACGGTTGAGTGGCTTCAAACAGGAGTGACAGCTCCGAATAGTCACACCAGCGACGTGTCTGTAGAAGGTGGAACCGATGAAACTGTGGGGACGTAGATGCTTGGGGTTTTAAGAGTAGATGTTGATCAGCAGGGTGATGGTGTCATCAAGAGCCCAGAGTAGAAATAAGCGGAGGAGGTGCTGTAGAGTGGTGGGGGGGCGCAGGGCGACTAGGCGGTGGTGGTAGGCGGCTAGTTGACTGGCTACTACAGACAACGAGGGCGCCCTGGGCGCCAACTTGGTGGGACCTGAAAGGAATTGGATTTAGATCCTCCGGTAGAGGTGGTGGGAGCTGCATCACCTAGTACGTCGAAAGCAAGCGAGGGCGGAGAGTGCGGTTGCGCACCACCATGTTAACACCCGGTGTCGTGAAGGGGGCCCCATCCGTGTGTATGTACGTATGTATGTATGTATGTGTGTGTGCGTCGTGTTGTGACATGCGATGTCCGCAGGATTCGACAGCTCTGTGGGAGAGCCTGCCTGCGGACACCCTGGCTAGAGCGGTGGATATCCACCACCGCTGTGTACGGCGACTGGCACTGAGGCACGGGGGGTATGAGAGCTCCACTGAGGTGCGGGGGGGAGGGGGGAGGACGGGGGAGGACGGGTTATTAATACACACGCTTACAGGCACTGTGTACGACACGCCCACCCTATCCAACACACGAACCACCAACCCGCCGTACGATTCCCTCTAACGCACTAACCGTCATTCGCCCCTCAGGGTTTCCCTCCAGGCTGTACGAGTCCATGAGGGGCCGCCTTGCCCCGCCCTCTGACCCCCCCCCTACTTCCACCTCCCTCCTTCCCCCCGCTCAGGGCGACTCGTTCATCTTGGCGTTCAGCTCGGTTCGTGCCGCAGTGGGTTTCGCCCTGGAGCTGCAGAGCCAGCTGCTGCTCGCACCCGGCTGGCCCAAACTGCTGCTGGAGCAGGAGGTGGGGGGGAGAGGGAGAGGGGAGAGGTGGGGAAAGGGGGAGAGAGAAGGTGGGGGGTCTAGGGGTGCGGGGGGTACAGGGGGCCGGTCAGGGGAGGGCACCTCACAGCGCACTGCGGCTGGAGGGGGGTTGCCACAATCTTGGAGGTGATGGCGCTGCCGGTCGCAGCGGAACACTAACCGCCCCCGGGGCCGACAGGGGGCTGAAGGACGGGCAGTCGCCAGACCTCGATCCCGCGCTCCCGTGCTGGGCCTCTTTGATTTCCAACTTACAGCTGTGGTCGGTGCGGCTTGTGGCGTAGGTCTGCAAACCCGTCTACACGCGTCTGCCCGCGGGCTTTCCCTTCAGTTTGCACGCGTCAAGCCAGGCCTCAACCACGACCTTGTCACCGAGAGTACGGAAAGTACGGAAATCCTCGTGGGGAGGGGAAGCGCTGGCGAACGCAGCGGCAGCAGCAGCGGCGGCGGCTGCGGGACCTGCAGCGGCGGCGGCTGCGCCGTCCAGCTTAGCAGAGGAGCAGGCGCAGGCCAACGGCCGCGGAAGCCGTGGCGGCGCCGCCGCAGATGCCGTACTGGCCACTTCACCACGCGCATGCGGCAACAGCGATGGCGGTGCAGCGGCACGGCGGGTCTCAGCGGCGGTGCCGCTGGTGCCGTACACCGTCAGACCGCTGAGCTCGACGGGGACCATGGCGCAGCAGCCCCCTCGCTGGGAGCTCCGGCAGCTTCCCTCCCCGACCTCATCCGGGGCCACCACCCCCACCTGGGGCCCGAACGGGGCTTCCACCCCCCGAGGGACATTCCCTAGAGGACGAAGCCTCACCGACATGACGTATCATGCCGTACAGCAGCAGGACTCGATCACTATCACCGGCGGCGGTGGCGCTGGCGGCAGCAGCTATCGCAGCGAGTTGCATCCGTTACCGGAGGCTGCTGATGCTTCCGCCGCCCCCCGGGAGGTCACGTCGGATCTGCCGGGTGGCGGCGGCGGCGGCGGCCCCGCAGTGACGATGTCCATTTGGTGTGGTGGTGGGAAGGTTGGTCGCAGTCCCACTGGAGGAGGAGGAGGAGGAGGAGGAGGAGGGGGAGGAGGAGGGCCTTCCTGGGTCCTCCCGGAGGTGGGCGACTGCCCGGTGGTAGCCACTAGTGCTCTGGGCTCCCTGCCCCTGCAGACCTGCTCGTCTGGGCTGCTGAAGAAGCAGTTGTCTTGGTTGGGTGAGGCGGCGGGCGGCGGCGACATTATCACGGCCCGGCCGCCCGGGTTCGTGGGGGCAGCCGGGAGCGGCAGTCAGAGGGGTCCGGCGGCTAGGAGTCGAGTGCTGTGCAGTGCCGTGGGGGGGGAGGAGGAGGAGCAGGAAGAGGAGCAGGAAGAGGAGCAGAGGCACGGAGTGGTGGTGGGGGTGACGACGTTATCGGATGACACGGACATGCAACAGCCTCCACGTCAGCCTCAGCTACAGCCTCAGCTACAGCCTCAGCAGGAGCAGCAGGAGCAGCAGGAGCAGGAGCAGCAGGAGGAACAAGCACAAGGGGACGGTGACAGCGACCAGCTGCCGGTGTGGTGCGACAGTGGCCCCCTGGCGGCGGCACCAGACTTCTCCATGTACAGCAACGCAACCTACGTCCCCACGGCCCACGGTGCGGGCGGGGCTGGCGGCTCCGTCAGCTTGACCAGCGGCGTGCGGGGGGGACTGTGGGACGAGGGCGACGGCGAGTTCATAAGCTCTGCGAGTAACGCCGTCATCTCCCGCAGGAGTTTCCAAAACAGGACACAGAATGTGCCGCTCAGCTGGGGGGTGGGCGGGGCACCCTCGGGGCCCGCCGCCGCCGTAACGCCCGCAATGGCAACCATTCGGGGAGGAGGAGGTCTAGGAGGTGGTCGCGGCGGTGGAGGTAGTGGTGGTGGTGGTGGTTGTCGTACTCTTCTCGAAGTGCTGCGGACCGCAGCCGCTGCCGGAATGGCGGGCAGTAGCAGCAGCGGCCTGAGCGGCTATGCCAGGACGTCACAGAGTCAGCAGCTACATGCACAACACAACCAACAAAACAACCGCCATCTCAACCACCACAACCACCACCACGAGCACCTGATGTTCAGGTGCAAGGGAGGGGGGGAGGGGGGGAGGGGCGGTAGAGTCCGTTCCATGTAGAAAGCAGCTGAACGGGTGTTGCGAAGGAGCTGAAGGGTGGCCTAACTAGGCAAGTAGGCATTGCCTCGTTAGGTCACCTGGTCAGCACCCGCCGAGGTTGGGATGTTATCGTCGAGCAGCTGCATTCCCCCGCCTGGGCTGTCGGACCTCCATCTCCCCCCAGGGGAAATTCGTATGCAAGGAAATCGGAAATGAACTGCCGGAAGGCGTCCAAAGCTCGATAAGCATACTGGGAGGAGATGGACAGGGTGCTGGGGCGGGGGGACGGGGGCCGGGGGGGGTGATATGCGGAGCGAACCGCCGGAGCGAACCGCCGGAAGGCGTCCAAGCTCAGCTCGCGAAACTGCCCTTAGGGATGGAGGGAGCTCTCTAAGCGGTGTGGGCGATGAAGCCAGATCGACCCCCCCCAGGGAGGGAGGGAGGGATGGAGGGAGCTCTCTAAGCGGTGTGGGCCAGATTGACACCCCCCCCGGGGGGTTCGGAAGTAAAACCCCAGTACGACGTTACCCACATGGCGGTGTCGGTGGTATAGTCGTCGTCCGGGGTGGGCGCCATCTCCACTTCAGTACATGGGGGGCAGCGCCGGCCTGGGGCGTCATTAGTCTCTGGTAGCGTTCATAAGGCCCTCGCGACCGCGGACAGAGAGCCACAGCGAAGAAGGGCCTTGTGGAGTAAACGATGTTTGTCCCGTAACCGTCCTCTGGAACTGTCCCTGTCGCCCCGTACCCTACCCCGCCGTACCGTACTGCACTGTGCCGTACCGAAACAGGGGCCTTCGTGTCCGCATCGGCATCTCGGTTGCCGTACCTACGGCGGCGGAGCTGCAGTACAACGCTGCCGCAGCACGCATGGTGTACGGCGGTCCCTGCGCGGCGGCGTGCAAGGCCCTGGCGGACCTGGCCCACGGTGGTCAGGTGCTTCTGAGCTCCGGAGCGCACCGGGCGCTGGCGGCGGAGTGCCAGGGGCTGGGGGGCAAGCCGCCGGGGACAATGGTGGGTGCAACTACATGCACTGATACGTTTGAGTCGGTTAGGGCTTGTCGCTGTCGCCGCCTGAAAGGGCGGCTCCTGCGGGGTTGAGGTGATATGCGGAGGAGCGCACC